TGCGTTGGCCAGGCCGGCGTGCCCCCCGCCCGTCCGTGTCTCCGGGCTCTCCCCGCAGGCTCCGGGGTCGGGCAGAGTGTGGGGCGCAGCCGCGCCGGACGCCGCCCCGTCACAGGCGCCCAGTGATGAAATCACTCAATTGAGTGCTATGGAAGTGGGGGCGCCGATTGCGCATTTCGCCAAGACGCCAGTTGCCGGCAGCCCTCCTCGAGCTGCTCCTGCCCCTTGTGCATGTACCTTGTCAAGGTGGGACAGCTTGCATGTTCTTATGATACCAGGAGCTATACCAGCAGGAGTTTAGTGCTCCTTGTAGGTTCAACCAAGCCGGAAAGGTCAAGCGGGGAGGAGCCAGATTAAGCATGCAAACTAGTCCAGGAGCTATACCAGCGGGAGTTTAGTGCTCCTTGTAGGTTCAATCAAGCCGGAAAGGTCAAGCGGGGAGGAGCCAGATTAAGCATGCAGACTAGTTCTCCAGGATTGGGGGTTTGGCTCAGGGTTAACAACCCTGACCTAGAAAAAGCTTTTGTTATGGAAACAGCAACAAAGAATTCCTTCTCAACTGTATGACGGCCTTCCAGAGTAGAGGCTGGCCAGAGACAGACAAGTGGAGGACCTTTGTTGCTGCCCTATATGCCAGTTGGGCGTGAAGGGCGATGATGATGATGACTGAGAAGGGTGGAGCAGTTGTGACTCCAACTGACATCAGTGGGAACTGCTGATGCTCAGTAGCCACATGGCAAAGGGAAGAGCTCTACTTCAATCCTTAGGTATCTGGTGTGTCAGAGACTGGCTTAATTCTAGTGTCAGATACTCTCAAATCAAGCAACCAAAACAAATTCAAAAAGAGAAAATCCAACCCAACTCAACGCCCTAACAACCTGCCATGAAACAAATAAATTGTTCTTAACCATTTACAAAACTATGGCCTGATTTGCTGTTATTACTTATTAATTATTTTTTATTTTGGTAGCACCAGGGACACCATTGTGCTAAATGCTGTACAAACACAGAAGAAAGATGGCCTGTGACTTAATGAGATTACAATCTAAATATGCTGGAACCAGTACTAGTTTAGAACGTTGTCATGAACAGTTGTATCTCCAACTAGGCATTTTTGCAACAATGTTATCTGATAGTAGCTCAGATAAGCCCAGAATCTAAATTATAGTCAAATTGTTTTCTCTGCACTCTTTTTTTATTTGATTTTTAATTTTTTCTCAAACCATATCTCTCAAAACTGTAATTCTCAACTTTTTCAGGAAATTGTAACTATTTATCAGGCTAAGAACCTTATCCCGCCCTCAGTGAAATCAATGGAATGACTCCTGTTGATTTCAATGGGAGTCTGATCAGATCCTAAAACATTATCTGTTCTAGCCAGTACTCATTGCCTCTCTTGGGCTACGTCTAGACTGCAAGCCTCTTTTGAAAAAGAGCGTTTAGACTGCAAGCAGTACTTTCGAAAAAGCAAGCTGCTTTTTCGAAAGAGAGCACCCAGGCAGTCTGGATGCTCTCTTTCGAAAAAGCCCTGTTTGCATTCAAGAACGCCTTTTTTCGAAAGAGCACTTTCGAAAAAAGGCGTTGTTCCTTGTGAAATGAAGTTTTCCGCCGTCAAAAGAAAAGCTACGTTCTTTCGATTTAATTTCGAAAGAGCGCGGCTGTAGTCTAGACGCAGGTGAAGTTTTTTCGAAAAAACCCTCGAGTCTGGACACAGCCTTGGAGTGTTGCTTTCACCATTTTCACAAGTTGCAACACAGAGGCTCATCTTTAAGTTCATGAAGCGAAGCCTAGAGTGACAGCTGTAAAAGCAGGCCACACCAATGCAGGTATATAGAGAAGGAGATGGGATTCCTCTGTAGCTAAACAATGAACTAGTAACTGAAACTTTGCTTAGTTTCTCTTGTGTCTCTTTGTTTTGTCTCTAGGATTTCATCTCTTAGATCCCCAAAAGCAAGAAATGTTCCTTCTTGTTGTCACAGTAAAGGATTTGGCAGGAATGTCAGAGAATGCTTTAACCAGTAACACTGATGTGGAACTAATTGTGAAGGAGAATCTTTGGAAGGCACCTCCAGATGTCTATATTAAAGAAAACTCTACTGAGCCTCATCCCATCGCTATCGCACAGGTAGGGTCTAGAAATCACAGAAATGACTAACATCAGTGCATCTCTGAGGTCTAAGTTTTCCCTGTCAGCTGCAGAACTTCTTCCAGTTATCAAGGCTTTTGTACATCCTCTGTGTTGGATATTGCTGTCAATGGGAGTTTGGGTTGAGGAAGGAAATGGAATATGGATTTCAAAATTTTGTCCCCTGAGAATATTTTACATTAATTGGAAGAGAGTGTTGGTTTCTCTAATGTATTCTTATTATGAAATGGATGCTAGGGAGATGATTAAGGTACAGTCCAGAGAAATGTCAGTTGAAAAGTGTCACAAGGATTTTTTCCATTCAAGTTTAAACAAAGTGCTGGTCTTGCTATATTCTATAAACTGTAGGCAATGTATAGGGAATTCTACTGATATATAGAAAACTCAACCAAACAGAAAGGATACTCATTTCAAGGCTGTTTGGCACAATATGAATTACAGAAGTCAGAGCCCCTTTGATGAAATAGAGAATTAGTCTTTTAAAGAAGGGGTGTGTATGGGGGGAGGGGGAGTTACAGATGGGGAATACAACAGTTGGGAAAAACATGGGTAGTGCTAGTTAGCACTGTTACCCCAGAGACCCAGGTAAGAAACTTGATACTGTGGGCTGACTATGATTTTGAGTGTCTCTGCACAGAAGTGAGGTTTGGCCTGGCACTCCCATATCTAATAATCGGTAAGATTGACACAGCCAGAGTCCAGAATAAATTTAAACTCAATTATATTGTAAATTTGAATACACACAGCAGTTAATGACATAAAACAACAACCCCAGACACTTTGCACCACAAAGCCAACCCACACCAACAAAGAAATAGAGGATAGTAAAGAAAACCCCAAAAGGTAAACAACTTTACAATTGGTAGGTGGTACAATGGAAGAACCGGACAGGGTTCGGGTAAGTTGCTCGGGACCTTCAACCTTCGGGCTACTTATAGCTGTTGGGGAGGAACACCGAGTGGTCCCTTGAGGATTCTAGATGATATTAGAATGGAGCAATTCCGGAAAGGCCTGGGCCTTTGCCACAGCAGTCTGAAATGTCCACAAGTAGCCACTCTCGCTTTTAGTTTCACCGATGCTTGGGCATTCACCACAACTCGGGAACCCGGACAGCTGAGTTGTTATCCAGCTGTGATGATGGGGACCCTCAGTCTCTAGTTGACACTCCCACATACAGTAGCTGAGCCTTTGCTACAGTCTACTCTGAAAGATGTCACTGAGACCTGAGAATTTCATCATCCTTGAGTCTGACGAATCAGCAACCGAGGAACAGGGGAACTCAGGAACTGAGGAAGAAGCAACCCAAGCCTTAGGACAAGACCTCCTTTTAAATAGTCCTTGGCAGGAAAAGGAGGTTTGTGCCGTATGCACGTTAGATGGTGCAGAGTGCAAACAGTTAGTGCTGATCCTTTGCGTCAAACAGTATGGGCAAATGATGGTAAGTGATGTGTGCACCTTTAGTACTGGGTGCAACAGTTCTTTTGGCAGGAAAATCCAGTCCATACCAGTTCCTTTGCGTCAAACAGTCCCAATAGTTCATAGATGGTAAAATGGAACTGAGAATTCAAAATGGGAGTTGGATTGCACTGTCCGTATCAGCACATAGCGGCACTCAAATTAATCCCAACAGCACCACCGGGAATAGTAAATGTAGGGCTTGATTGCCTCTCTCACAGAGGGTATGTCTACACTACCTCCCTAGTTCAAACTAGGGTGGTAATGTAGGCAACCAGAGTTGCAAATGAACCCCGGGATTTGAATTTCCCGGGCTTCATTTGCATATTGCCGGGTGCTGCCATTTTTAAATGTCCGCTAGTGTGGACTCCGTGCCCTGCGGCTACACGCGGCACGGACTAGGTAGTTCGGGTTAGGCTTCCTATTCCGAACTACCGTTACTCCTAGTTCGAACTAGGGTGGTAGTGTAGACATACCCAGAAAAACTTATGGGAGGGTGTCCAATAGGCAGGAAAACTCCCCCAAGTTCTCCTTATGGATTGTTCTCCAACTCCTTCACTTGTGTGGTTGGTTATGTCTGCCCACCCTCACTCCATTAATGAGGAAACAGCAGTAGTTCAGCCCTGGGAAGCCAGCTGGAGTCAAGGGGCAAGCTTTGCAGAGATTTTGTTCCTCTTAACTGGGTCTGGTGTTCCCACTTCCTTACGCTCTCTGGCAGTTCCAATATAGCCCTGCTACCAGACACTCCCCAGTCACCAGCTCCCCTACATTCCTCACTTAAGGTAATTCTGAGACTGCCACCCTACCCTTCCATGTGGGAGCAGGGAAGCAGACTACGCACCCATGGATCCCAGTGTGTCCACAGAGTTTTAAGAGTAAGTATTTGGCCTAAACCAGATGTAGTGAGACATAGTGCAACTTGCTACCTTCACAATAGCTATAAAGGACTTAAAATCAGCTTTCTGACTTTCTTCAGGTTCCATATTTCCCATCATAACACCTACTTCCTCTGGTGTTCTGCAGCACAAAGGAAGACTGTGCTGATTAAATTGGTATAACAATACTGACACCAGTAAATATTAACTAATAGGCAAACACCTTGAAATAGTCATGCTTAGAAGTTCACTTGGCATTGGATCACACAGTGTACTGATAGCTAGGGTATTACAAGATTATTCATACTTTGTTCTTGAGAAAGTTGTTTTGAAAAATGACATATAATGACCCTTATTCTACTCCTGTTGAACATAATGAGAGTGACAAAGAGTCCTGTAGCACCTTAGGGTATGTTTACACTACATCACTAATTCGAACTAATTTAGTTCGAATTAGTTAATTCGAACTAAGCTAATTCGAACTAGTGCATCTAGACTTAAAAATTAGTTCGAATTAGCGTTTTGCTAATTCGAACTAGCATGTCCACACTGAGTGGACCCTGAACTGAGGTTAAGGATGGCTGGAAGCAGTGCCGGCAGGGCACCAGCTTAGGACTTAGAGTGTGGAGCTGCTGCCTCAGGCTAGCCGAGGGCTGTGCTTAAAGGGACCCGACCCCCACCCCGGACAGACAGTTCTCAGGGGTTCCCCGCTTGCAAAGCAGTCCTGGCTTGGAGTGCCCTGAGTGCCCACACTCGGCACATCACAGCACTCGGCCATCAGACCGGCTGCACTTGCCACAGACTGCCATCCGGGAGGGTCAGTCGGGGGGACTGCAGGAGAGCTTCCACTCTGAGGAGCCCGCAGAGCCACCCCAGTCCTCCTCATTGGGGGCTCGTACCCCATTCCTCCCTCACCTCCTTCCACTTACCCCTCCCTAGCCCCCCTTCCTGATGTACAAAATAAAGGACACGTGTGTTCAAAAATAGAAA